AGCCAGCCTTGCTGGCTGGGGAATTCTGGGAGTTGAAGTCCACACATCTGAAAGGTTGAGAAACACTGTTCTAGATGTGTGGAAGTCCAAAGGTGTGAAGGTTGAGAAACACTGCTCTAGAAAAATCAGCTGAGCCCTTACTCCTGAGCAAACTCCAGCCAGGAGCAAACCTACTTCGGTCTGAGAAGGGTTCTACTTCCCTTTAACTAAAAATAAGGTGGAGGAGCCATCTGAGTTTCTTTACCCGCAGGGTGCATAATCCTCTCATAATACCTCTTCTTCATTGCTTCTGTATAAATGAAAGGAGGTCACTTCCTGGGGAATGGCTGAGAGATGCTAAGATTTTTGTGGCGCAGCTCCCGAAAGGTAGGCGTCTGTGTCAAAGACACAAGATAGCAGTTCCTCCAATAAAGTAGCTTTCTGCAGAATCCTAACCTGGTTTAAGGAAAGTTAGGGGGAAAAAAATCCTGGAACTAGATTTTTGGTGACTGCTCTTGCTTCCGAAAAACATAACTTTTATTTATTGATTGATGCAATTTCTATAGCCGCCCATCTCAATCCAAGGGACTAATCTTGTCTGAGAAGCTGTTCTTTTCCCTGTTCCCGTAACTTTCACTAGTTGAATCCTCTTCACTTTCAGAGAATTGCATGCCAGGTGACCGCTTCAGGGTACGAGCATTACATGTATCTTGTTAGCCTGCTCTGTAGCAAAGTGGGCTGAAAATGTTGCTACCGTAATTCATGCTGTCAGCTCTGTTCCCCCAAGATTACGAATGCAACCCAGCTTCTATACTACAACTGGGTTGCGAGGCATTGTTCCCAAAGCAACTTAGTTCTAAAATACTGGAAGAGGAATACAAAATGCCCATTCTCAATCTTTGAGGAAGAACCCTCATTCTCTGGTTGAGCTGATCCCTGTCTGATTTCCACAAAACAGAAGTGAAAGGGCTATGCCAGAATGTTAGAAATGCATTTTATCCTAATTATGGCAAGATAAAGATGTTGCCTATAGCATCTTGCTGCTTCCTCAACTGTTCATGTGAAAGGGCTCAATTGTGGTAAGAGTGAAAACATGCTTATGTTCTTTCTCGTGGTTCAGTGTGAGCTTTAGTTTAGTGCCGCAGATTGATTAGATGTGTGACTTGAAGTGTTCTCTGAACATATGATGGCTTGATCAGCCTTCAGACTTTTCTCTCCACACCTCCCTCCCTCCCAGCTTGTCTGCTTTTTATAACCCTCTTGTATTTGCAAGGAGGACCTGATGGTTCTTCTGCTACTTACATCAGGGATGAGAATGTGTTTACATCATGGGTTGTAAATTCTGTTCAAGCGAGACGCATAGAATCTGGAGATCCATCGAATCTGGAGACCCAAAGAATCTGGAGGACCCCATTCTCTGATGAACTGATCTTAGGATTTTAATGAGCTACTAACTTTTTTTTCTCCCCCTTCCTGCAGTGAGCATTTGTCCTGCGCCTTCACATTCTTCCTCCATGGGGAAAGTAATGTGTGTACGAGCGTGGAGATTGCTCAGCACCAGCCAATCTACCTTATCAGTGAGGAGCACCTTCATATGGCCCAAACCTCTCCTATGCCTTTTCAAGGTAGGGTGTGTGTTCTATGTATGGCATATGTTTCTCAATGTGATGTGACCTGGAACAAAACCTTGATGAAATCTTCAGAGACATTTTTTTTCCTTGCCAATAGCCTTGGCAGCGATGCCAATTATTTGCATTAACTCTAAACACTCATCCAGTGGCCTCTCCTGTTTTCCTCTGGGATAAATTCCATCCAGAACATAATACCTTGTCTCAGAACTGCCCAAGATACACAAGGCTGTCTGTTCTCTGCCACCCCAAAATGTTGGTGTCTTCTACCACAACCACCGCCTTTCTGGAGAAAAGGAGCTTGATGGCTGCAGTCTTTTAAGAGAAAAAGCCACCACTTTTAGACCTTCATCTGTAAAGTAGAAAAGATTTCTCTTTTTCTTCTGTTTGTGTGTGTGTGTGTGTTGTTTTGTCTTAATTTCATGGCTCATTTTATTCTCATCCCCACCCTTCGGTAAAGCAGTTAGCTTTAAAACAGTTTGCAATTTTTCATACCGGTTTCTAATAAAATTTTAACCTATTTTGGAATGGAGCGCACAGTTCATAGCTATAGATTAGCAGTTTTAGTCTGAACCCTGACAAGCGTTATCATCAAAGACAGGATCAAACTTAAATACACCTTAAAACAGTTGATTCACTGAATCAGTGTGTTGGGCCTAAAGCTCTTTAATGAGCACCCAAACATGGTTCAGCTTGGACTGGAACTGGATTTGAAACATTGCTAAATGCAAGTAGAAAATAGCTTTGTATAGAAAGTTCTAAAATAAAAGTGTGTATTGGGGATTTGGCAGACACACACCAGCGTTGTGATATATGCCTGGCGATTGTGAGACTTATTTTGTCCTCCCCTTCCCTTCCCTTCCCTTCCCTTCCCTTCCCTTCCCTCCCCCTTTTTTGGTTTAGCAAACCTTGATCATGATTAGCCTGTGTGTGTGTGCTTTTAAAAAAAAATGATTGGAGTGGATTGGAGATTAAGATGCCCCACATTCAGAACATCTTCCTGGGACCTTAGCTTGCTGACAGTGCAGAGTGTCAGCTTTTAAAATCACAGTCATCTTTTTGCAGCTGAGCTCAATGGGTCTTAAGTGCAGTTGTTCCTTCCTTGATGTTTAACTTTTCTTTCCCTTTCACATTTATTCTGAATACCCGTTTGCTTCCTTCCTCACCTTTTTATATCTGTTTTGAGTTTTAATTTTGCTGCAAGGCAGGTGGATTTAAGTCAAGGCTATATCAATGGATATTTTAAAAGGGCCAATAATAAAAAGAATTTAAAAAAAGATGGGGCGGGGGGGAGAGGAGGTTTAACCGTTTCCCTTTACCACGGGAATTCGTTACCGTGTATTTCCTGAAGAGGTATGCATTTTAATTGGTTGCTGTAACAATTAGCCAATATTGGCTTGTAACTAAATAAAGCCCTTATGCTACCTTAGAGCATAATCCATAACATTTGATCATGCTGTTTTATCCTTTTACATAAATTAGATCTGCTTAGAGAGAGAGAGATGAGGATACACATTCTGAAATAATGGATTCCTGTTTGACTGCTTCAGTGTACTTACAAGACATAGTAAAGTTCATTCACTTGAAAAATATGGGCATAGTCCAACAGAAAGGGATATTTTTTGTGCTAGTGTGGTATAGTGCTTAAGTCCTTGGCTATGATCAGAGAGACCCAGGTTCCAGTCCAGCTTCAGCTGTAGAAATTCACTTGGTGATTTTGGGCCAGTAGCACTCTCTCTCTCAGCCCAACCAACCTCACAGGGTTGTTGTGGGGAAAAATTGAAGGAGGGAATGCTAGATATGCTTCCTGGAGCTCCTCTTTGCCAGAAGCAGGCATCTAATAATTAAAGAGTTTTTTTTTTTTTAATGAAACACAGTTCTCTTTGCACAGGAATACTTGATGTGACCTATTTATAGATCAAAATAAATAGCGTGTCATCATTTTAATTCTTTTCCACAAGAAACAGATATTTGTCTATCATTCATGCATTCTCCTCCTCCTCCCCCTCCTCCTTCTCCTCCTCCAACGTGTGGGCAGTAAAATTGAATATAATTATATTTATTTCATTTTGAATCTGTTTTTTCCTAAGAGATGCTTAACTGACTTTTAACTTACTGTATTTAAATATGATGATGATGAACTTACTGTATTTTAAATACATGTCTTTCTTTTAATTTCTATATTTAATTAAGGGATGCCTATCCCTTTTCTGTTTCCTTCTATAGTACATAGTTGCAAATTTATTAATAAAGCTGCTGTTTACAGAATAGCCAACATGGCTCATGGTAGCCGTTCAGAGTAGTTTTTTTAAAGTTACTGACAAAAAGAGAATCATAATCCAAGAGAGCAGTCACATATTATGCTTATAAAGCATATATCAGACTCCTTCAAATGCTTCTGAAAGGACTGAATAAGTTTCTAAGTAGGAAACAAACTAGGAGAGAAATGTTTTTTAGAAGAGGGTTGAAGCATCATTGAGGCATTTGTGATATTCGCTGAAAGAGAAGAATAGATTGCTCTAAAGGGTGTGAATTCTGGGAACCATGACGGATAGTCAAGGATGGCAAATTAAGGATGGACAGAGCAAACAATTAATTAATTTGCATGCAATTTGCTTAAAAATTAAGCTGCTGAGCTCCAAGGATAGATTGTCTTACATACTCTGTAATCTCCTTAGTCCAAAATTATCCTCAGATTTCAAATCCTCAAACGCAAACCAGCTAGGAAAGCATCCAGTGGGCTTAAATAGTGACCCAGGATGGAATGAGGGGGTAAAAAAAAAAGTGAGTTGTTTCTTATGTGCTGTTACAGATGTGCTCTCTTTTTAAACTTAGAGTCTTACGCTGCACGCAGCGCTTTAAAGTCTGGAGAGAACATTCTTTGGCCTGATTGGGAAGATTCAGGTGCCAATTTTAAGTGAAACGACAACAACGTTATATGTTTGGCTAGAATAAAAAGCTGAAATAATTGGAAGTTTCTCTCTTCTATGCAAATACGCAACTCTGAATAAGAACCATTATTTTATGATCAATTATCAGAACAAGGTTTGGATAACGCTCCTGTGCAGTTTCCTTTTCTTGATGCTACGGCTGGATGAATGTAATGGGACTGACTTCTGAGTAAAAATACTTAAGGTTGTGCCTCATGGCTTCCCATAGAAGAAGGTTGGGATGATTGTTGGGATCTCTAGGTGCTGACCACTCTCTCTCTCTCTCTCTCTCTCTCTCTCTTTTAATCAGTGTTGATCAGTCCGTATGGGTTAAGTGGTACTTTGACGGGCCAAGGTTACAAGATGTCAGACCCAGCAACCAGGAAATTAATTGAAGAATGGCAGTATTTTTATCCCATGGTGCTGAAGAGGAAGGAGAGTGTGAAAGAAGAAGAACTGGGATACGATGACGATTTTCCAGTGGCAGTCGAAGTCATAGTTGGTGAGAATCGGTATTTTTCTTGAAAAGTATCTTCCATTTGCCCAGTTCCACTTAAAATAAAACAATATAAAAATAAGACACAGTCCTGAAGTAGCACATACTTTACTGTGGTTCTTCTAGTATTTTGATACATTCTTTTGTTTAAAATTTGATGTTTTGTAACTTAGAACCATTTCAGACTACTTCTTTGTGCTTTTATTTCATTATAAAAACCTCCTCCCTCCCTCCCTTTTCTGTCTGTCTGTCTGTCTTCCTTCTT